GCAAAAAAAATTCATAGAGTGGTTGTTGGTGCTTGCATGCATGCGAAGTGTCACTCTTGCAGGCTAGGTGGCAGCCTAGGGGGTTACATATCTGCATGCATGTACAAAAATGAAAGGTGTCACTCTTGCAGGCTAGGTGGCAGCCTAAGGATGTATCACGATTGGACAGTAAGGGATGCGCCATTGGACTTGGCGAAAGAGTACAAAAATGAAAGGTGTCACCATCCCAATTGGCGAATAAGAGGTGTCCTTGGTTGCAGGCTAGGCTCAGGCTACGTGACAGCCTTTGGGATGCCATGCCTGAATGCATGTAACCCTATTAGAGGTGATGGGAGGAGACTTACAACATACAGTATAGGTGCAGAGTAGGCGCAGGCTAGGTGGCAGCCTAGGGGGTTACATACCTGCATGCATGTATCACGATTGGACAGTAAGGGAGGCGCCATTGGACTTGGCGAAAGAGTACAAAAATGAAAGGTGTCGCCATCCCAATTGGCGAATAAGAGGTGTCCTTGGTTGCAGGCTAGGCTCAGGCTACGTGACAGCCTTTGGGATGCCATGCCTGAATGCATGTAACCCTATTGGAGGTGATGGGAGGATACTTACAACATACAGTATAGGTGCAGAGTAGGCGCAGGCTAGGTGGCAGCCTAGGGGGTTACATATCTGCATGCATGTATCACGATTGGACAATAAGGGAGGCGCCATTGGACTTGGCGAAAGAGTACAAAAATGAATGGTGTCGCCATCCCAATTGGCGAATCAGAGGTGTCCTTGGTTGCAGGCTAGGCTCAGGCTACGTGACAGCCTTTGGGATGCCATGCATGTAACACTATTGGCAGCCTTGGGGGTTACATCCTTACTTAATTGAAATTTTTGTCTTACGTTTATCATAACATTGATTCACTTAATCTGTCAAATCTTCCAACCTTCAAACGTTCTTACAATCAAACCTTCAAACCTTCAAACAATCAAACATACAAATCTTCGAATAACTCATAAAGTTCAAACATTCCAACCTTCAAACCTTACAACATTCAAACCTTCATACAATCAATAAACTTCAAACATTCCAACCTTCGAATAACTCATAAAATTTAAACATTCCAAGCTTCAAACCTTCAAACAACCCTACGCAATGGCCTCTGCACCATAATTTGTCGTCAAAGCACATTTCAACGGTGAGACATACATCTGTCCCACCGCTGAGTTTTTGTTTAGAGACACAGACAACATCCGATTTCTCTTAAACGGGAAAGCCAATTTCTCGTACTTCAAAAAACGATTGGAGGCCAAACTTGGACGAGGCCCGGTGACCCAGATATTTTATCAGAATCCAGTTTTTTTTGGAAACAACCAAGTAATTTTTTATAAGGTTGAAGTTCAAGATGACGAGGATCTCCAGAATATGTTTTCCAGCCATGTGTATTCTGGGTACGACTCTATTGAGTTGTACATTATGCTGCGAGAGCCTCAGGTGACACAAGTGGTTGATCCTTTGGAGAATGAACAAGCTGAGGTAGATGCAGTTGATGAAGAAGAAGAATATGACGAGTTAGAGTTTAATGAAATGGTGAATGATGATTCCGACGATGATGGCATACCTAGTATTCCTGCAAACGAAATCTACACACCACCTCCGCACATGACAAACTTCAACATGGGCGGAGATGAACCTTCTACTGACTTATTTTTCAATCCGTATATGCAGTCGGATGAAAATTTAAAAGAGAAGGACAAGTTTCGTAATAGAGAGGAATGCATCAGAGCCATAAAAAAATTCCACATGCTCAACTCTGTTGATTTTAAGGTGGACCGTGTCAACCTGGAAAGGTACAAGATCAAGTGTGTCCACCCTGACTGTATGTTCAAGCTGACCGCATCAAACAGATTAAGAGGTGACTGTTGGGTCATAGGTTCCATGACTACCCACACTTGTGTAAGTTCCACTCAATCACAGGACCACCGAAAACTTAACTACGATCTCATCTGTCAAGAAATCCTACCCCTGGTCAGCAACGACCCATCTTTGAAGGTGAAAACAATCATCTCCCACATCACCATGGTTTTTAACTACACTCTGTCTTACCGTAAGGCGTGGTTAGCAAAGACTAAGGCGATTGAAAAGGTGTACGGAAACTGGGAGGAGTCATACCAAGAACTTCCTCGCTACCTGAATGCACTCAAGACGTATTCTCCGGGTAGTGTTTACGTTCTGGAAACAATGCCAGCATACGCCCAAGATGGTAGTCTACTAAACAACAACAGAATATTCAGTCGAGTGTTTTGGGCATTTCAACCTTGCATCACAGGGTTTGCATCATGCAAACCAATTATACAAATTGATGGGACTTGGTTGTATGGGAAGTACAAAGGCACGCTACTGATGGCAGTTGCACAAGATGGCAACAACAACATATTCCCCATTGCCTTTTCCCTTGTCGAGGGGGAGACCAGTGGTGTTTGGAGCTTTTTTCTGAAAAATCTGTGGACACACGTGGTTCCTCAACCAGGTCTTTGTTTAATCTCGGACAGACATGCCTCCATTGAAAGTGCCTACAATAATCCTGCAAACGGTTGGCATGACCCTCCTTCTACGCATGTCTATTACGTTAGGCATATCGTCCAGAATTTCACGAGGGAGATCAAGGACAAAACATTAAGGAAAGCGGTTATGAATGCGGGATATGCATTGACACAACCCACATTCAAATATTACCGCAAAGAGACCCGTTTGTAAAATCCAGAAGCCGGTAGGTGGATCGACAATATTCCGGTGGAAAAATGGACTAGGTCATACGACAATGGCCAAAGATAGGGGCACATGACAACAAATCTTATTGAATCAATGAATGGGGTATTCAAAGGCATAAGAAACCTCCTGATCACTGCTTTGGTAAAATCTACGTATTTTAGGATGGCTGTGTTATTTGCCAAAAGAGGTGAAATGTGGAATGTGGCGTTGCAATCTGGATAACTATGGAGTGAAAGCTGCATGAAATACATTAAGGCTGAAAGTGTTAAAGCCAACACTCATATGGTTATATGGTTTGACCGACACAGCCACAACTTCATTGTGAAAGAGTTAATCGACCACAACGAAGGCCTGCCAAGACAAGAATATAGGGTCATGCTACCTTCTCGTTGGTGCGATTGTGGCAGGTTTCAAGCATTTCGTATGCCTTGCTCTCATGTCATTGCCGCTTGTGCTCATACCCATCAAGACGCGCTGCAACTTCTGTCAAACATTTACAAATCTGAAACGTTGCTCAACGTTTACAACAACAACTTTCCTTTGGTAGCAAAACCAGATTATTGGCCTGCATACGACGGCGAAATAGTGTGGCACAATGACCAAATGCGAAGGAACAAGAAGGGTCGTCCCAAAAGTAAGCGCATCACAACAGAAATGGATAATCTTGACAAGTTGGAAAGAAAGTGTGGTTTATGCCGTCAGGTTGGACACAATCGTAAAAATTGTCCGAATCGGGCGTCTGCCTCGACCACATAAAAATTGTAATACATAAAATCTTTCCTTAATTATGTTGTAAACATTAGGGTTTTCCTTTAACAGATTTTGCTACAATAAATATTGCGCGTACAAGAAAAATTATCGATATTTCGTCTACGAAATTATAACTGTTAACACAATTTCATCTAACCCATGCATCATCAACATTACATCGCTGTCTGTTTTGACTTCCTCCAACCATACATTAGGTCTTCCTGTCGCATGTGAGGTTGTTGTTCGTTTTCGCTGGATCCTTCGAATTTTCCCCCCCTCCGCAATGTCTCCATCTAGCCATCGCATCAACTCCCGCTTCAGACGCTCCATGGAGTGAATGTGCCAGAATTTCATTTTCATCGCAGGTTTCGTGGTGGAGAAGATAACGTAATCATCTCTGCTAAAAATCATGGGCGACGTCATGACGCAAATAACAGAGTAAAAAATAAAAATACAGTGCGAGAAAGTGTGCGAAATTTTGGAGAAACGGACGAATTATTTATAAAACAGCATTTTGCCCTAGTTTTGCCCTAGGAGCCAAGTGAGATGGCGCATCCTCTCACTTTTAAGGAGCATGCGCCATCTCACTTGACTAAAAATGAAGGGAGGCGCCAAGTGAGATGGCGCCTAGGGAAAAAGTAGGGGTGGAGGCGCCAAGTGAGATGGCTCCTCCTTTGGAGAGTCATCTGAAACATGGTTATTTGCGTAATTTTTTCCGAAACGCGGTTATTTGCGAAATATTATTTTAATACTTAGTTATTATAAAAAAAAATCAATATATTATATATATATATATATAAATTACATTTTTTATATATTAATATTTTATTTAATTGTAGTCAATGTATAACTTATCTACTCACATTTGAATTAAATAATTTGATATTTAGATGATATTTTCTGAAATTAATTTTATATTAGAAATACTAGATTAATCAATAATACTTTTAATATTTTGATAAAATTAGAGACTATTTATATTTATATTTAAATTGATATTAAAAGTGTCCCACATATAGTAACTAAAATTATGGTTTACTCAAAGAAAGAATAGCAACCAAGAGAAAATTGGCATACAAACAAACATGTACACAAAATCATACTCTTTCCCTATTCATTTTCATACTCCATGATTCTTTTTTTCACCTACTACCACAAGCTTCTTTGTCCCCCATTTTCATAAAGCAAACCATTTCTTTCAACTTCAAGTTTCTCCTTATACCTCCCTCTCTCTCTCTCTCTCTTTTTCTCACTTCTTATTCCTCAATTCATGTATTGATCTAACAAAAATCTTCAACATACTATTTAATCTAGTAGTGTACATAATGAATCATGTGATTCAACATCATGTTACCATTCATTCTACTAGGTGAGAATACTCTTTCATTTTCTTTCGTCCCTTTCAAACTTTCTTGAATTTTTTTTTTTGAGTCAAATTTGTAAAATAACAATTTAGTCCCTTAATTTCATCATTCAAGGCAAATCATTGGTTATAATGGATCCATTCAATCATAGTCATCAAAAGAACAACTTTAGGTACAACCCAAATTTGAACAAAACAACTCAATTAGATGATGATGAAGATCAAGATTTCACAGGACTTCTAGATATCTTTGTTCATCATGCTAGCAACATTCATAACATATGCATCTATGATAACCAAGATGTATATGCTAAATTCTCCCTCACTTACAACCCTGATGAGACTCTTTCAACAAGAATCATCAATAAAGGTGGCAAAAATCCAACATTCAATGAAAACTTGAGGATGAAGATAACTCAAATGGATGCTTTATTGAAATGTGAAATTTGGATGTTTAGTAGGTCAAGAACTCACATGGAGGATCAACTTTTAGGGTTTGCTTTGGTGCCAATTTCAAAAATTGTTGTAAAAGGAAAAGTAACTCAAGATTATAGTCTTTCTTCAACTGATCTTTTTCATTCTCCGGCCGGAATTGTCCGATTAACACTTTCTTTACACACATCTTTGGTATCTGAATCGGCAAATAGTTCGTCGATATCGTCGGAGGTTATTTTTCTTGACAGAAAAGTTTCTGAAGTTATGTTGGATGCAATTGAGTATTCGAGAATTGAGTTTCCTGATATAAGTGTTGTTAAGGAGAATCAAGAAATGGTTTCTGAGTATTTTAATCTTGCTTGGGACACAAGTAACAACAAAAACTCAAGAAAATTTCTACCTTTTCTTCATCTTGGTTCATCTTCTCAACTTGAAATGACGAACTTGAGTTCGCCAGACGCGAATCAAGTTGATTTGATATCCATCTCTCCGAATGAAAGCATTCAGAATTCGAGTTTCGTAAGCTCGACTATCACAAGCTTAAGTGATAATAGAAACTCAGCAGATTCAATTGAGAAAAAGAATCACTTAGGAGGTGATTCAACACCAACTTCACAGAAAGAAGTTGAATCAAGAGATGATGAGAAAGAGAAGAAATGCAAGAAAGATAGGAACACAGAAGCCATAAAACATGGACATGTTTTTTCTTCTTCTTTAGGGAAAATTAATCTTGAAGCTGAGGAATGTGCTATGCAGAAGCAAATAGTGGACATGTATATGAGGAGTATGCAACAATTTACCGAGTCCTTGGCGAAGATGAAGCTTCCGATGGACCTCGACAAATGTCAAAGAGAAGATCATGGTGGTGATGTAATTCAAAGTCACGAGAGCGAAAAATTAGAAAATGCTAAGAAAAAGGATGGATCGCGTGTGTTTTATGGTAGTCGGGCGTTTTTTTAATCATGATTTTAAATTGCGGTCTGCAATTTCAATTGCAACTGCAATTAAAGATTTCAAATCTTTGCGATTGTTGTTGCAACAATCATATTTTTTTTACGATATCAAAGATGGCAATGCGACTTTTATCTTTTATGACCATGTGTAGCCAAAAAAATAGGCTTACTGAGTATGTGCAATTTTTCTGTAATGTAATTGTGGCAAAGTTTTTATTAATTCACTATGCGATTGAAATTAAATAATGATTTTGCAGGGTTATTGTTGACATTGGTAGTATACAAAAATAGTCTCTAAATAAAGTGAAAAATTAACATATATTTTTGTTTTATTCTTTTTTTTGAAAAGTGTTCTTTTTCTAAGTCTTCTTCCACCTTATTTGTGTTTTGCTGATATTTGTGCTCATATAATTTTATGTATATGTTGCATTTAACATGTTTATAAGTTCGTTATTTTTTTATTCTATTCTTATAGACTTTTTGTGTGCCTTCTTCTCTAGCTATTTTACCTTATTTTCTTCTTTTTGGATTTGACATGGTTTTCCTTGTGCTTGTTGTTTGAGCTTAATATTAGAGGGTAATTTAGTATTTGCCATATATAGGATATTCCCTTTAGGCCTTATGTGGCATTCTTGTCTTTACTCTATTTGTGTATAAATAGGTGTACTAGGTTTAAATTTAATATAATCAATTTTCTTCAATCATTAGTGGCAGCTTTTAGCATTTATTCTTTTTCTCTTTTCTTCCTCAATTTCATCACCTTGCACTAACAAATTGGTATCTAGAGCTCTTGGTTTGTTCTGAAATTCTGGGAAACACGAGTGATAGTGAGCTGTGTGTTTGATTTCTGAATCTTGAACAAAAATCTGAAACAGAATCACACTGATTCTGTGGGTTTGGGAAACACTGAGTGAGAAATCTGAGATCTGAGTTTTTGTGCAAGATTTAAGATGAATGGAGGCAGTAGTTTGAACACTAAACTTCCAGTTTTTTATGGCAAAAACTGGAACAAATGGAAGATACAAATGCATGTGCTGTTTGGTGCTCAGGATGTTTTGGATCTTGTTTCTGAAGGTTATGTTCCAGTTGCAGCAGATGCTACTGAAGAACAAAAATCAGAAGAAAGAGCTGTGAGGAAGAGGGATCAGAAAGCTCTGTTCTTTATCCATCAGTGTGTGGATGAAAATGTGTTTGAGAAGATTGTTGATTCGACGACGTCGAAAGGGGAATGGGATATACTGACCAGATGTTATGGTGGTGACGTATCAGTAAAGAAGGTAAAGCTTCAGTCCCTGCGAAAACAATATGAAAATCTCAGCATGAAGAACAGTGAGAAAGTTTCTGAGTACATCTCCAGAATGATTCTGATCACTAATGAGATGAAGGCTTGTGGAGAAACACTTTCTGAACAGGTAATCATAGAAAAGATTCTGAGGTCACTTACTCCTCAGTTTGATTACATTATTGTTTCTATTGAACATTCTAAAAATCTGGAAACCATGAGAATAGAAGAGTTGTGAAGCAGTCTAGAAGCGCAAGAGTTGCGTCTGACTGAAAGAACTTCTGAGAGGGAAGTGGAGCAAGCTCTGAAAGCTTCTTTTGTCAAGAAGGACCAGAAGCAGAATAGACATGGTGATAAATTCCAGAAGTCAGAAACCTCAACTTCTGATGAAAAGAAATATCAGAAGGGAAAGGAAAGGTATGACAAGAATAAGGTTCAATGTTACTGTTGTAAACAGTTTGGCCACTTTTCCAGAGACTGTAGAAACAGAGGAAGAAAATCAGAAGAAGAAAATATAGCCAGATAAGATTCTGATGATGAACCTATGCTACTGATGGCTTCTGATTCTGATGGGAATTGTTCAGAAGATTGGTGGTATATGGACACTGGTTGTTCAAACCACTTGACTGGGAACAAACAATGGATGATAGACTTTGACTCCAGAAGGAGAACAAAGATCAGATGTGCTGATGATAAGTACCTTAATGCAGAAGGTATGGGAAATGTTAGAGTCAGAGTGAAGAATGGAAAAAACATTCTGATCAAAGATGTTTGGTATGTTCCTGGAATTAAAAGTAATCTGATGAGTGTGGGTCAGCTTATTGAGAACGGTTTTTCAGTGGTTATGAAGGACAACCTCTTGACGTTGTATGATTCTAATCAGAAGTTGATTATGAAGTCTGAGCAGGGAAGCAATAGAACATTCAAGGTGAATGTAGAAACTTCTGAAGCGGAGTGTCTTAGTGCAGAAGGCGCTGAAGTTGACAGTAAACTGTGGCACAAGAGGTTGGGGCACTTGAACTATAGAAGCTTAGGGCATCTAAGTTCTAAGAAGCTCGTACATGGAATTTTGAAGATTGTGAAGCCTCAGAAATCATGTGAGATATGCATGAAAGGCAAGCAACCCAGATTGCCATTTGTATCAGAAGTAGCCCCCAGAGCAAAGCATGCTCTGGGAGTAGTACATTCTGATGTGTGTGGACCATTTCCAGTACCTTCACTTGGAGGAAACAAATATTTTGTGTCTTTTGTGGATTAGTTCACCAGAATGACATGGGTAACACTCATCAAGTTCAAGCATGAAGTGTTTACTGAGTTCCAGAAGTTCAAGGTGAAGGCTGAGAAGCAGGGTGGTCAGAAGTTGAAGATTCTGAGAACAGATGGTGGAGGTGAGTATAACTCTACAGAGTTTCAGAAGTTCTGTGAGGAGAATGGAATAGAACATGAGGTTACTGCTCCATATACTCCTCAACACAACGGTCTTGCTGAAAGAAGAAACATAACTTTGCTTGATATGACCAGAAGTATGCTGAAAGAGAAGAAGTTACTTCACATGTTATGGGGAGAAGCTGTTGCCACATCAGTATATGTTCTGAATAGGTGTCCAACAAAGAAGCTGAAGGAAACTGTTCCTTTAGAAAAATGGACTGGAGACAAGCAAAGTGTTGGCCATCTGAAGGTGTTTGGTTATGTATGCTACAAACACGTTCCAGATGCTAGAAGACAAAAACTGGATGATAGAAGCAAAACAATGTTACTGGTGGGGTACCACAGTACAGGTGCCTATAAGCTTTATTGTCTAGAAACCAACAAAGTTGAAATCAGCAGAGACGTCATTGTGAAAGAGTCAAAAACATGGGATTGGAACAAGCTTCAATCAGATTCTGGTGTAATGCCAATACCAGGGTTAGTTTCTGAAGATCCTTCAGAAAGTTCTGAAGACGAGTCAGAGTCAGAAGATGAAGACTCTGAAGATGAGTCAGAATCTCAGGGAGATTCTGATAGTGGATCTGATTCTGATCCAGAATCTGGTGGTGATTATACTTCTGGAAGGGAAAACTCTAAAGACATGGGGTCTGGAGAACAAGTTTCCAGAAGTAACTCTGAAGGTGGTAATTCTGAAGGAAATAATTCTAGACAAAGTCCAGAAGCCAGCACAGTTCCGAGTTCTGGAGAAGCTTCAGAACAAGATCAGAGGCCACAGAGAATCAGACGAATACCAAGTAGGTTTGCAGATTTTAGCATGTTGCATGATACTGAAGTCTGAAGGAGAAATCGTTCAGTGTGCCATGCTAGTAGATTCTGAACCAGTGGGTATTGAAGAAGCGCTCAAGAAGAAAGTATGGCTGAATGCCATGAAAGAAGAACTTGAGGCTATTGAAAGAAACAAGACTTGGAAGCTGACAGAACTTCCAAAAGGCAAGAAAGCCATCAACTTCATATGGGTTTTCAAGCAGAAGCTAAAGCCAGATGGATCAATTGGCAAACACAGAGCGAGACTAGTGGCTAGAGGTTTTCTTCAGAAACCTGGACTAGATTACTTTGAGGTGTTTGCGCCTGTAGCTAGACACGAAACAATCAGATTGGTGATTGCTTTAGCTGCAAACATAAATTGGCCTTTGATACATCTGGATGTGAAGTCTGCATTTCTGAACGGTCCATTACAAGAAGAAGTTTATGTGTCACAACCTCCTGGATTTGTGAAAAAGAATCAGGAAGGGATGGTATACAGGTTAAATAAAGCTCTGTATGGATTGAAGCAAGCGCCCAGAGCTTGGAATTTCAAGATTGATTCGTTTTTCAAGGAACAAGGGTTTCAGAAGTGTGAGATGGAGTATGGTGTTTATGTTCAGCACACTTCAGAAGGTAATTGATTTTGGTCTGTTTATATGTTGATGACATATTACTCACAGGAAGTTCTGAACAAGAAACAGTTGAGTTTAAGAAAGTTCTGATGAATGCATTTGAGATGACAGATCTTGGAAAAATGAGTTTCTTTCTAGGGATGGAATTTATATACTCTGAGAAAGGAATCATCTTACGTCAGAAGAAGTATGAACTGGAGCTTCTGAAGAGATTTGAGCTAGCAAATTGCAAGGTTGCTATCACACCTGCTGATACGAATCAGAAGTTGGATTCTGATTCTGATGGAGAGGATGTGGATGCTACAACCTTCAAACAGATGGTTGGTTCTCTGAGGTATTTGTGTAATACCAGACCTGATATTTTCTATGCAGTTGGAATGGTCAGCAGATACATGAGCAAACCAAAGTGGTCTCATTACCGAGCTGCTGTCACGATTCTGAGGTATGTAAAAGGAACTCTGAAATATGGAGTGTTGTTTCCTTCTGGTAGAAAGATCAAATCAGAACTTCTGAGTTATTATGATTCCGATTGGTGTGGAGATAGAGTTGACAGAAGAAGTACTTCTGGGTACTTGTTCAAGTTTCTGGGAGGTCCAATTTCTTGGAGTTCCAAGAAACAGCCTGTTGTGGCTTTGTCAACATGTGAAGCTGAATACATTGTCGGTGTTGTAGCTACTTGTCAAGCAGTTTGGCTTCTAAATCTGATGCATGATCTGAAGGTTGAAGTTGAGGAACCTCTGAAGCTGATGATTGATAATAAGTCTGCAATTAATCTTGCGAAGAATCCAGTGCTACATGGAAGAAGCAAGCACATTGAGACGAAGTATCACTTTCTCAAAAGTCAAGTGCATAAAGGAGTGT